AACCGTCCTGTCACATTAAATAAAAACCATAGACCAAGATTGTAAAAGACGCATCTGTAAGACTTTGAGGGCACACCTACTACTGTGAAAAGGTACATTATAGTGTCCCCCTTTCTCATTAAGAATTTTCTTGAACCATAAAGGTAAAACCTACTTCTTTGTGCCTTTGCCATCCCGTGTAAACCCTGTGGGCCCTGTGTGAGGCCATACAAAGCTAAAGCAAACCAGCAGCAAACCAGCAAGAGAGGTCACATGTGGAATTGTGCTCTGGAAAGATACAAAAACAAAGAATTTTCTCCAAATGGTTAGAGCACGCTTTGTATGGCAGCTCAGTGCCTAATGACCTACCACCCCCTCCTCCCTCCAACAGAGGCTAGCGTGTGATGAATATGGAGGTATGAGGGGGGAGGGGAGCAGATTCACCACAGACCCGTGGATCATACGCATCACTCAACACACACAGACAGAGAGGGGAGGCGGCTCTGAGGTCATCATAGGGGCTACATGCTATTGGTTAGCTGGGAGGTCATTGATCGGTGTAACAGAGAGGTCTATGGCCCAATCCAATCTCCACCCTTATGGACGCGCAGACTGAGACACGTTCCGCGAGGGTGCAGTTCTGTTACTATCACACCGCCAAGTGTTTTAATAATATATATATATATACCCACAATTGTAAATCTGATTTTTTGACGTCATAGTGACATGACATATCAGCAGAGTGCTTTACATCCTTCAAGCCCCCACAGACTCTCACACTCAACATCTTACCAGGGGACGTCAGGGTCTAGGGGGGGACGCTGGGCCAACCTCTCTGACTGTCTTTTTTCATGTACTTTCTTCGTCGGGCAGAAGTCAATCCCAACATCCATTGGGAGGAAGTCAGGGAGGCCACCATTTGAACCCAACTAGTGAACTAGTGTTCAGCAGTCCAGTTGACACATGAGATGCATCTAGGGCATAAAAAGCAATAAAAAGTTCAGAAAATGTCAACTCGCTCCTAATGAAGAGTGGAGAAAAGAAGTCTTTGTCAAGACGAAATAGGTAGCAGAGCAGGGGCCGTCCTAACGGGCATTTCTGCAGTGCACCACAAGGGGCCACAAGGTTCGCTCCGGCAGAAGTGTCCACCACTTCCCAAGCGAATTATGGGCAACGTGATAGGAGACCAGATACCTTGGTTCTCTCTGCTAGGACGAGGGCACCGAGCTGAAGCAGAGCCCTCCCTGGACACAGAGAACATACTCAATCATCGCAGTCCATAGTGGAGGCATTTTGCTCTAACAGGAGCACCATTTATACCAACATCAGTGATGCGCTGTGCTTGGAGTTAGTGATTTGCTCGCTACTGCCATCTGCAGGCAATTTGAGGACTGATTGAACCTGCAGAGAGCAGAACCGTATGCGTTGGTTCATGGTCCTCATCCACTCACAGCACTACATGAACAATGTGCGTTTTAAATAAAGCAGTCAAAATCCAAAACCACACAACCAAATACAACATTTCTAATTCAGGGTAAATAAAATCAGGGCCATTGTAGTTAAAATCTCCGATACCATTTAAGAAAAAAGTGGCACATAAACACACACACACTTATAAGTGTGGAATCATACATTTAAAGTGGAAAATTTATATTGTGTGAGATAAACATTCAAGACATGACATTTTTTTTTAATAAAATTGGAATAATTGTGAAAAACCATTGTAAAAAAATAAATACAATCCAAATGTATCTTACCTGAAATGAAGTGTGAACATTAACATTGATATTGATTGATATTGATGATGATATTTAAGTAATTTGTAACATTTTAGAGTGTTGAGAGGTGTATAAAAACTGCTGTAAATAGCAACGACATTCATTAACGTCATCATACTACGTTCTGTTGAACTGAGCTAACGTGAGATGATGCACGATATGGAATCTTTTAGCAGACTGTCCGTCCATCCATTCGCCCTCGTCTCTTAACTGGTGAACAGCATCAGCAGGCGAAGCTCAGTTCCAGTTGAACACGAGCGCTTGTGTCATGGCGATGTGTTTCACACTCACACGGCGGCAGAGGGACGGTTTATAACGCAATGCGAGGGACATTCGTCAACCATAATACACATTTTACTTCAGTTAATTCAGTTCAGTGCTACCACGGTTTTACCTGCTTTAAATTGTGAGTTTTTTATCTTAATTTATCTACTTTTAGTTGTACTTCTCATGTATATTGTTCTCTACTTTTGTATATTATTATTTTCTTTTTCACACAATGGCCCTGATACACTGTCATTAATGAAATGGTCATGACCCCTAACTAACTGCTCCTGTCCTCGGTGTCCTCGCTGCTGGGACGGAGCGGGACGTTCTGCAGTGATCAAAGCCGTGGTTCATCTTCAGTACGTCCTCATTGGCCGCTGGGATGCGGATGCTACCGGACACAATTAGAGCAGAGAGTGTTGGGCAAAGTCCTCTGACACCCAAGGCGTCGCAGACCGGACGGAGACGAGGGGTCAGTATAAACTCCACAGCACCCTGGAAGGACTCATAGTCGTGTCCCCGCAGGCGTCCCTGTGTTGGATAGAGACGTGGCTGCAGTGATGCACAAGCCATTTGGAATCGACAACCTCGGGCCCTTCAAAGTCTACATGACGCCCTTTTTTTAAGTAAAAAGTCACAGCTGTCTGATGACGGAGCGCCGGCCCCTAATGACAAGATAAAAACACACATGGAGTCTGTTTGCCACTATCGTCCCTCTGGCGTTAGGAGGCAGCTGGGACACTACCAGCTAACTACCAAAACAAGACACTGGTCCACTTGTACACAAATTAAATCAGTAGTAAAACAACTTATACACACAGGCAACGTATGTCCTGGTTCAGCTTTAAGGGTTAAATGGAAAAATATGGTCATTATATAGATGATGTCCTGGTCGTCGTGGCGCAGGGGTTAGAGAAGGTGTGCTGGGAAGCACAAGGTTGGTGGTTCGAGTCCAGGCTGCCCCTTGTTCCATGTCGAAGTGTCCCTGAGCAAGACACCTAACCCCTAATTGCTCCCCAGGCAAAAATGTGAAAAAGCCACAATTGATCAAAAAGTCACAGTATCACAGATTGAACAGTTGTAGTAGAATAAACCTTAAATGATAGCATGTTATCGTATCCTCATGAAATGATTGTGTTACAGCAAGCAGTGAGTGAGGCAACATGAAATGACGTGTTTGGTAGAAAAGAGGCTTTTTAAAAATATTACATCATTTATACAACAACGTGAAGCAGATTACAAAGAACTTGTTGTGGGTGCCGTTCAGATCAACACAATAACTGTATTCAAACGAGATCTTAAAAAAATGAAAACTGCATGTAACTTTTCATAAAGACTCACTGTGTGTGTGTGTGTGTGTGTGTATATGACAGCTACCTCAACAATTTATATCATAGCACTGTGTTGACAATTAAAAAGCAGCTTTGAAATCAGACAACGAGGAGGACACATTGGTGGACGCAAACATCAGCCGATAACAAGACGTGACCAAGCAAAGCACCACAAGGACGGACGCACACCAGGTCATAGAGAAGTCGGTCAAAGAAAACACCATATATTGGTTTTTGAAAGTCTTACAGTCTCCAAATCTCAGCCTGATGCTGCAAACAGCGCAACCAAAGACAAATATCAAAAGAGAATAGTATAGCGGCAAATCACTGTCAATATCCGAGAGCGCAAATCAGGTTCATGCGCATAAATCAAACAGAGATATTTGCTCGCTCGGGGAACGTGAATTTCCTGCTCGCGAGGCTAATTTCTGCTCGCGCTAGAAGGAGTTTTCTACGCGCTCGCTGTTGTTCTTTTTAACAGTGAAGCCTAGTTTATGGTTGGGTGTTTTCAGCGAGACGCAAGGACACAAGAGCCCCTTGCGTGTCTTTTCACACCTCCCTGCGTCCTTGCATGTGTCGACCCATTTTTCGGCGCTTTCGACCCAAGCCTCCGATTGGTCTGCTAACTACATTCTTTACGGAGTCTCACATTTTTAAAACGAAGAATGTTTACGAGAGAACGGATCAGATTTAAGAACTTTTGTCTGAAGAAATGCGTAAATGTGGAGCTGAATTGCTCTGCAACACACGCAAGCCTTTTAGAACCATGAATTGAAACGAGTGCGACGACACGACTGCGTAAAGACGCAGACGCAAGCGCCAGCCTTAAGGGGGCGGAGCCAGTCAGATAAGATATGCGCAGGCTCCTCCATAGTTCGGGAAAGTTGGCAAGATATTCACAGATTGAGACTGACGGACCGGTCTGCGAGCTGGACGCATTGTTCTTAATGTGCCGGTAATGATGGTAAATGATGGTTGTAGCTGGTTGTCATCTACGGTTACAGACAGATGTCGTTTGTTTCATCTCATAATTTCGACTTTCTATCCCCTTTAGTGCGGAAATGCTTCTATAGTTCTGTGAATGCATCACTCCAGCCAATCCAAAGACGGGGTTTGTAACCAATCAGGTCTAGATACCATAGTGACTGGCTCCGCCCCCTGATGACTGGCTCCGCCCCCTTACTGTCAAAAAGAACAACAGCGAGCGCGTAGAAAACACCGTTGAGCGCGAGCAGAGATTAACACCTCGCGAGCAACGAAGTTCGTCATGTTTGCTTTACGCGCGCGCATCGACCTGATTTGCGCTCTTGAATTTGGACGGTGATTTGGCGCCATGGAATGGACTGTGGGGAATATTTGGGGAAAAACAATTCAAATGAAATCTATATTGAGAGGACGTTTAGGCCTGTCACTCCACATGCCGGGCTGCAGACGGCTCGGGCAGTCTGGATGTAGAGCTGCATAACAGTGAAAGCACATTCCGTGTGTGCTGATGACACGGCCGAGGGGGGACATGTAGGCGATAAAGACGTCGGGGCCAAGGACCGACCCTTGAAGTACCCAGACACTCAGTACACAGTCAACTTTTTGATTAAGAGTTTTCTTGTATGTCAACATTAAGTTGAATTATGACACCGAACCAAAGTCAAAATCTCAAAAGGATCTTTTTAATCTGTAAATGAGGACATTCTACAAATCTCTGCCAACCTTCCACCGAGCCAATCCGAGGCGCAGCAAGGCAGCTGCTGCAGAATGCACATCAGTCTGTACATTCAAAACACGGCGTACAGTTTTCCTATTACTGTATCACACATGCACTGCTGCACATCTATGGAGACACTGGAAGAGGCAGAAGGCTTTCACCGTGGAAAGGGAATCGGTCCACGAATAGAAGCATTATTTTAAGTGTTTTCAAAACAAAACTCTCGGACGACGAGCAAGCCGACCTCAGAGAGGATCAGCGGAAAGACGCGTTTGTGAACCAGCCGCTTGCTTTCAGAGACCAGCAGCCAAGAGGGGAGAGCGGAGAGAAGAAGTGAGAGCAGAGCGACGGAACAGCGAGAGATGTTTTATTGACGCGCACACGCGCACACACACACACACACACACACACACACACACACACACACACACACACACACGCACACACACACACACAGACACACAGACACACACACACACACACACAGGCTCAAAAAGAGTATACTTTTGGGACAATGTGACATTTTGCCACAAAAGAAAATGCATTTTAGCAGAAAACAACTTTCCTATAAAGATGAGCTCCACTTCCATCTAAAACAATTACCAAAATAATCTGTTCTTACAGCTTTACAACAGACTTTGGTAAAAGAAGACCGCAGACTAAATGTACTTTAGTCCCACCAGGCCGCCTCCCAAAACCAGAATCACATGAAACGTTGTCCAGACAGACATGAGCCCGCTGTGTGTGTGTGTGTGTGCGCACCCACTAACATCTTGGTGTATAAAGGATGGGATTTAAACCTCTATCATTTGCTGAAAGCATTGAATCCCCACTATTAATGCTCATCAGTAACGGGTTAACGTCAGCACTAGTGGAAAGGTAAATGGGGGGGAATTAAACATCCTCACCGAAGTGGTACGTTGCAGCTTTTAATCCCATCGTGTATCAACAGCTGAAAAGAGAAACATCAGAAACGTGGGCCAGTTGAGAAAAAACAGGCGATTGAAAAGTAGACGACAAGTAGCTCCTTTTATTTTCCCTTCAGGACTTCTGGGCACCGAAGTCTTCCAAACATACTCACTCTGCTATTTCGACTACATTCTAAAATCACCCTGATAAACTCTGCCAGCTATGTTAGTGACGGGGCGCCAACATGCCCCCAAAGTATAAAAGTGGATGCTGGTAATGTAGAACTGGTCATAATTACATCAACGCTAACCTTCAGTCACAACGCCGTCTACTTCCTCCTGCGTGCTGCTTCAATTAGGACGCACCAACGTGCCCAGATGAACCACGTGCACGCTTCAGAAGGCTGCAGCCGATGGAGGAGAGTCGGCACACGCTAGACGACCTGCCGTGACGGAGTCCGCCATGGCGGGAGTCACCACCACAGACTGAATGGCAGTTTGGGGATAAAAACAGCATTTGACTTGGCCGGTGGTTCAAGTGGTGACACAATGTGGAGAGAAAAGACAGTTCACTAATTACAGGAAGCCAAACCTCAACAGCAAATTCCAGGAAAGGAGATCCCTTCCACGCCGACATGCGGATAGGGCCGTGCAAAAAGGAGAAGCTCATTTTAATTAAAAAAACGCTTTAAAAAAGCAACAGCAGGCTTTGGTCAACAGTGTACACCTTCAGCCGCAGCCACCAAGCAGTGATGTCACGAGCACTGCTCCATCACAGCCAGGGCAGCAGTGGGAGTTGAGCTGCTCTTTGAGTCTGATGAAGCCCGCTTCTACTAGTATTTGCTGTGTGGAGTTGGGCTTTTCTGTCAATATTTGAACTGATATAATAAGCTTTGGACATTAAAGCACATTTCACTGATGAAAGTATCGTACTGCTAAATCAAAGGGACGGGAAAAGAGACGCATCGTGGCAGTGACTTCCTCCCTCGTCATGGATCTTAAGGTCTACAGGTCAGATGGTGGACTTTGAAAAGGAGACTTTCAGGTGGTGATTCCCCCCCATGTCGTAGTTGTGAAGCTCCATCAGAGTCTGGATGGCCTCCTCCACCGAGGTCATCTGGATCAGGGCCATCTTACGGTCCCTGGTGAGGGAAGAGCAGAGAGCAAGGGTTCAGTCAGTGGATCTGCCCACACCACCTTATGCTCACGGCTAACGAGCTAAAGCTCTTACTGGAAGAACTTGAAGGCCTTGACGGTTCCCCCACTGTTGGAGAACAGAAGACGTAGATCCTCTTCTCCGACGGCGTCCCTGGACAGCCGCAGACAAGCCGTTAAGACGCCTCAAAGGAGAGGAGCTACGTACTTACATCCGAGATGTGCAGTGGTTCTCCTACCGGACGTTGGAGAGGTGAAGAGTTGCAGAGGGAGGAAAGATGTTCTGGAAGTTTTTGGACCCCGGCTTCTTAAAGCGATGGAGTGGCGAGCCAGAAAAATCTAACAAACAGAAAATGATACATTTATAGACTCAATGACAAAAACATTTGGTGCAAATTCATTAATGTAACAATTACAATATGTTATTACAACTTTGTAAACCGCAAGTGGCGACTTTCAGCTTTAATTTGAGGGTATTTACATCCAAATCAGGCGAACAGTGTAGAACTACAACAAATGTAAGTGGACACCCCGTTTTTAAGGGACCAAAAGTAATTGGACAAATTAATATAATCATAATTGTCACTTTGTTGAAAATCTTCTGCAGTCAACCGCCTGAAGTCTGGATTCCAGATCACCAACACCAGGCGCTGGGTTTAGTCCCTGGTGAAGCTCTGCCAGGCCTCTACTGCAACCGTCTTCAGTTCCTGCTGGTCCTTGGGGCCTTTTCCCTTCACTTTTGTCTTCAGCCAAATGCATGGATCGATCGGATTATAAGCAGAGCGTTGGATTGTGAGCAGTTCCTTTCCTTCTCCGGACTCATTCTGGTTTATCTTGGTCTCATCTGTCCATAGGATGTTCTTTCAGAACTGTACAGGCTCTTTTAGATGTTTTTTGGCAAACTCTAATCTGGTTTTGAGGCTCACCAATGGTTTCCATCGTGTGGTGAACCCTCTGTATTTACTCTGGTGAAGTCTTCACTTTGACACAGATACACCTCCTACCTCCTGGAGCGTGTTCTTCACAGGGGGGATTCTTCTGTCATCCACCACAGTTGTCTTCCGGCTCTTTTGGTGTTGCTGAGCTCACCAGTGCGTCTTTCTTCTTAAGAATGTACTAAACAGTTGATTTGGCCACACCTGATGTGTTTGCATCTCTCTGCATCTCGTTCAGCCTCATGGTGGCTTGCTTCACTGATAGTGACAGCTCTTCGTATTGAGAGTTGACCGCAATGGATTCCAAACACAAATACCACGCCTGAAATGAACTCCAGACCTTTTATCTCCTCCTTGTAAATGAAATAACGAGGGAATTACACACTGACCTTGAAACAGCCGATTAGCCAATTGTCCAATTACTTTTGTGAGATTTTTTCTGTGTCTCAAGTGTGCCTTGACGCAAAAAAGGTTGAAAAACACTGGTGTACAGAGCCAAAATAATGAAAAATGTGTCAATGTCCAAATATTTATGGACGTGACTACATATTTATCATCCTTGTTCCCACACTGCTGTATTTATCCTGTCAAAAATGATGGATGACATTTTGCTGTGTTCCCATCGTTATCAACTTGGACAATATTTCCCAAAAATGTTAATTGATTTCTTGTCTTTTATTGTAAAAATGTCAATTATTTAAAATTGTATTCAGGACTAGAGGTACTAAACACATCGAGGGATCCGTCAGGGATCCGTGAGGCTGGAACATCGACAGCGTCACGCTTACCTTTAGTGAGCAGCTGGTCGTCCAGTCCTTCTCTGGGCAAAGCCACAGTTTGATGCTTAGACAGAGTCACTCGCATCACTTTACCAAACACCTTCTGACCGTTCAGGTGGCTCATTGCTACGGCGAGGAGACATGGAAATATTTAGTCTAAAAGCGGTTTCCTGATTCGTCAATCATATCACAGATATCGATAAGACATTTTGCATTGTTACCAACTCAACATATTTCCAAAGGCTGTCTGTTTTTAACAGATTTATCTGACATGCTTTTTTTGAAATGGCAGAAAGGTTAAAAAAAAAGGCCCATACAAAGTGTGCATATAAGGACTTAGTCATGTATATTTAGTCATCATAGCCTGATCAATCCTACTTTGCAGACCAATACTAGTGAGTAAAAACTCACCCAGCTGAGCCTGGTTGCCATCAGACAACTGTATGAGAGCACTGTCCTTCTTGTTGTAGAGGATCTTCACCCTCTGGACATCCCCATAGACTCCTGAAGAGGGACAGAGACAGAGAGGGACAGGGAGAGCGAGAGAGAGAGCAGGGTGGAGCAGAAGGAGGAGAGAACAGGCAGAGCAGGAGAGATGGAGCCGACGAAGATAAAAAGGAGAAGTGTGAAGGATGGAAGGAATCAAGTTAGTGCAAGAAAGACAAATGAAAAGAAATGATAGAATCTTCCCATTTCACTTCCACCAGAAAACTCAATCAAACCCTTTGGTACAAGTGATTTACATACATCTAAAACTGGCACCTGGCTGAGCGGTGACTCAGAAATCCAGCTGAAGATTGGCGATTGTAAAACCATCAATGGAAGGAAACCACCTAAACACACTAACCTAAGACCTGAGGAGGAGATCTGTGAAACGCAGCTGTCGCAGTCCATGAGCGTCGGGACAAATCCTTTATTATACTGCTGTGCTGGTAGATTAATGTGACCAATGACAAGGTGAACTATGACTGCACCGGATTGATAATCTGGAGAAGGTTTTATTAGCTAGAAGCAACCACTAGTCTTTGTGAGTTCACTGGACTGTCGTAACCAACTTAAGCTATGAAGTGGTGAGAACATAAACGCTGCAATAATCCATGCGCATGGCAAGCAGGGTTCAGTGTAGTAAAGGCTGAATTAAAGACAGTCCACTCACAGAAAGAGTGCTATTGGAGAGCGGTACTTTCTTTTAGCATCTTCGGCCGAGCAGTATTAGTTACTTGTGGAGCTAAATGTTTCTTAATGCTAAGTCCCGCCCTCAAGAGCCGACTTTGTGGCCAGTGTCCAATCACTATCCAGCTCAGCCCTCGATTCACGCAGCGGCGCCACGTCTTCTTCCTGTTCAGGCTGATTTGGTGGATCGTGAGCTCGTCATGGTTAAACGTAGACTGGTACTTGGTACACTTGTTACCCGCAGAGGCTGGAACCTAAATGTCAAACCTTTGGAGCTAACAAAAGCAGATCACGTTAACATGCCATCCACTACTATTAGCAATTCTATGCCACGCCAGCTACGGAATGCATTAGAAAAGATGCTAAACGATAGAGGTAACGAAGGGGAACAGGGTTGTTGTTTCTTTGTCCTCACTCTAGATCTCCAGCTGATGTGCTGGTTCCCTTTACTGAGATCTGTGTCTTGAACGTCTAACCGCTTTTCACTGGTGAATGTGTTACACATCCTGCATATTTCCTTGCTACATGCTACACGCTACACGCTGCCGTCTGCAGGCGCTTCTTTATCTCTACACAAAATAACATATTTATGCGAGGAGTGCAGTTAGTGGCGTGAGGGCTTGGGCAGCTTGACGGAGGAGCAGCAGGGGGGCTTTAGGGAAGAGCCAAATGGGCACCGAGTCCCTTATGGCTGTGGCCCCCAACTTGCCTCATGGACGGAACGGAGAGAAGCTTTGTCCTACCAGCGAATTACTGACACTGCAAACCGTCCCAACATCCTCTGCAGTTTGTATTGTGAAGCAACTGCAGGAAGTGGCCTGCCAGTCACAACATATACAGAATATATACATACAGATTATAGATTTTTATATATATATTTGTCTAGGCGCAGCTCTGGGGGTTTGACTTCACATTTTGGTTTCAGCATGAGATCACATGAATGATTTTGGTGTCTTTGTTCTCATCGGTTTAGAGATAAGTGGAACAACTGGACAACCCAGACAGAAGTAGCTTTTAAACTCTGCATCGCATACAATACTATAAAATGAGGCTTATAGATGCAGAATGACGAGGAATAGCGTGTCCAAGACATCACTGAAGAAAGTGAACACAATAGGATTAACAGAGAGAGATATACAGATAGAATAGTGGAGGTTGAACATACCGAAGAGGGTAAAGAGACTTTGAGGCGTGACCATCTTTAGAGAGAGAGACCGCAGAGCAGAGGACAGGAAGAAGAGGAGCAGAGGAGGAAGAGGAGAGACGAAGGTAGAGATCAGACCGCCGAGCGTTGGACGAGGGGGGAGGTGGTGGTTTCCATGGCGATGAGGGGTGGAGCAAAGATGGAGGGCATGGGTTGGAGAGGGCGAGAGGTCAAAACGGAAAACCCAAAGTACAGTTTGACCGGAGTAAGATAAGTGAACAGAGGAAAAGTAGGTGGAACAAAAATTGGGTAAACGGACATGGGGGGTAAAGGGGAGTGTACAACATTTAAAGGGTGTGGCCGAAGGGAGAGAAAATAAATGCGTGAAGGGAGGAGCAGAGATGGGGAAGATAGGAGGCGGGGAAGGGAAAAAGGAGGAGAGGAGGACAAAAACCAAAGCAGAGGTCAGTAAACAGAGCATCAGTGGAACATCAACGGAGTCTGAATGATTGCCACACACGCACACACGCAAACACACACTCACACACACACACTGTTATTGCACACACATTCCCTGCTGGATGCGTTTATCTGTGAGGACAATAATAAATAAATAAATAATGAATAAAGCATGAAATAAATAAGAATGGAGGTGACTGCAGAGGGTATCAAACCAACAGGGTGAAAAGGGGAAGGAGGGGGTGGGGGGGGGTAGAGCCATGAAACCGATGGCCAACCAGGTCCCATGAGGTTACAGGTGCCAGAAGAACGGTTGGCTATGGGCGAGAAACTCCATATAAAAACAATGCAACTTGTTCTGAATGAAAATCCTCAAATCTTTACACAAAAAAAACAACACAATTTACAAATCTCACCGTGTTAACACACTCCGAACGTTAATTCACACCGCCTTCCAAATCATATCTGGACTTCAACTTGAAGTTGCTACGGTCAACGCCACACCACATATTGACTGCTGTACAGTAAAATACAGCATATGACATCATGCAATCCATCATCAGCGGCAGATGTTTTGTATTTAAACTATTTTTAACTTTCGGTTTTCACAATTAAAGTGGCACAACAGCCACTTGTTAGGAAGGAATACATTTGCCTCGCAGGGGCAAAATAAAGTACCTTGCACACCAGAAGGGACTTCAGAAAGCTGAATACTGAAACGCTCGAAACAGATGACTAGACTTTCCCTTCTGCCTTCTACATTTATATTTATACGTATATTTAATGGCCAAGCGCAAAAAAAAAAAAAAAACGGGAAAAAGTTTGCTATGCCTGTGCAACCAGTCCATCCATCTGATGACACGGTACAGAGGATGAACATGCTACGCACTATGCACTGCTATTATGCGCCGCTATTATGCACCGCTACGCACTGCAGTGTGCACCGCTACGCACTATGCACTGCTATTATGCGCCGCTATTATGCACCGCTACGCACTGCAGTGTGCACCGCTACGCACTATGCATCGCTACTATGCACCGCTACGCACTGCAGTGTGCACTACGCACCGCTACAACGCACCGCTACTACGCACCGCTACAACGCACCGCTACTACGCACCGCTACAACGCACCGCTACTACGCACCGCTACTATGCACCGCAGAGTGCCTCTTAACGAGGGAGGGGGACCAAGAGGGAGGGAGGGACGGACAGAGAGAGATGTAACACACAGAAACAGATAGAGGAGGTTTAGAGATACAGATAAAAGACTGAACACTGACAGAAGAAACAGAAATCTAAGATAATAAAAGTATGTTGGTGTTCAGTTTAGAGTAAACTGTAGCATAGTTGACGTTAAAGCAGCACCTGTGACACAGGAACAAAAATCCATGTAGAGAACACACAAACAAATACACACTAAGTAGGGAAACCATGTCAGAAACCTGGATGGATGTGGTTATGTAACAGTTCAAACAATTTCACAGTGCTGTGAAAAGGTATTTTACGCCATCCTGGTTTCCTATTTTTGGCATATTAGTCAGACTTAAATGTTTCAGATCATGAAACTAATTTTTAGATTAGACCGAAATAATCGGTGTAAATACAAAATGTATTTTTAAAATGATGATTAAAGGGAGAAAAGCTATCCAAACCCACCTGGACCTTTGTGAAAAAGTAAAGGGGCCCCCCATTAATAAATCATAAAACGGATTAGCCACCAGCCAGGCCTGATTACACCTGTTGAATTAATAAATCACTGGAACAGAACATGAAGCGATGGAGGCCATCTCAAAAAGAAACACGTCACGTTATTGTGATTGTCACATGACATTAAACAAGCCGCTCATACTCAACGTGGCTGAATTAAAAATGCGTGGAAACGAGTTGGCCAGAATTCCTCAAGGAAGCTTTTCACAAACCCTTCATGGCTGTTGTTACTTGCTAGGGTTAGGGGGCAATTACTTTCTCACAAAGGGCCAGTTGGTGGATAGCGTCTTCCCCTCAATAACTGAAACCATCATTTAAAGAATGCATTTCGTATTTGTACTCCGGTTTCCTTTGTCTCATTTTAAAACGTTTTTCCTGCTGGGCCTTTAATGAGGTTCTCTGTGGCACAATGTTTGCTTGTTGCTGTCTTGAGGTTCTGGTGCCACTGACCCTGAAAAGGAAAATACTTTCCTGCTATCCAAACAACACACTATTAAGATAGTGGGTGGGTTCACAACTTCCACACAATTGGGGACATGCAACTGCTCTCCTTGTCCTCAAATAAAACAGGCCATCGTGCATGTGCTCATAGCCACGTGGAGCTTTTGGTGCTCCAGTAGATGGTCGGCTTGGTGCATGAGCGGATCCTTTGCAGAAAAAACTTGCTGAATACGCTGTTCAAGTGCACGTGGCTTTTCACAGGAAGGGGATGACCCTCTGATTGGATACATTTATGCTTCGTCCAAAACACAAAATTAAGAGGACTCTTGCACTGCACCATTTAATCAGCAGAGTTGGACGAGCCTTAAATGCAGTAGCGCCGTGCACGTTAGACCATGGTTTCAAAAGGGATCCTATGGTTTAAGGGTATGTTTACAGTTTATGGGATACAGACAGCCTGTGAATCAATGTTCAGTACACTGACTGTGCGTCCTCCAGTAATTTAGAGATTGGTGAGCCCACTCCTCCAGCCTGCATGAAGATACTGAAAACCCAAAAGGCTCTACCATCGGTGCAGGACTGTGTGTGCACGAGCATTTAGATTAGTGGGAATGTGTGCACGACTGGCTGGGTAAATGTTGATATGTGCCACTATGTCCTTTGAGGACGGCGCCTTATAAGCGCAGGTCCACCTCCCAGATAAAGACGGAAGATGAATCACGCTGTAAAGTGGCCTTAGCACACAAACAACACACAGGAGTAACCACTACATCTGTTGAATAGTAAATTAAATGAGACAAATCCTCATTCACAGTCATGCACGTACGGCTAGTGTACCTCTTCATTCAGGTTGGATGCCAACAGGACTCCTGACACTCCGGACCCAGAGAGAGCAACGCGCCCGGCGGCGGCTGCCGCTGCTGCAGCGGCGCTCAGAGGACTGATGGCTCCTGGTAGGAAACAAGCAACGGGTCAGAGTCACTAAAGGTGTGAACTACAACAACGGAAAATATAGAAATCCCTTCTTCAGATTTAATATTTTCTTTCTTATTGAAAGAAATAGTGTCAGTAGAAACACAATGCAAAGGCCTCTGTCCAACCCAGAGTGCTAAAACATTCAAATACATTCATCATCAGGAAGGTCCTTTTCCATTTAGCGCCAGATCACAACAGAAGTTGTTCATGTTCAAGTAGAAGACGTCACCCCTCCTACAGAAGTCGTCTACATCTTGTTCTTTTATGAAACAAAGCCTTACGTCACTCATCTTATGTTATTTTCTGCCCGACAGAGCGCTTTGGAAGTGACTGGCTGACTGGAAGTAAGAACTCTGATTCTTCCCTCACAGAGCAAAGAAAAACTCTGGCGTCTGAAATCTGATCAAAGTATCATCATCTTTAATTTTGTCTCAGGACTTTCAGAGACAATCAGGACGTCATGTAATTCGGGAAACCTCATTGTACCCAGCCACTCAGATGATCGAACTCCAATTGAATCATCGAGCCTGAGGCCGGTTTTTGTCTCATTCATTGAGCTCAAATGTCCTATTGAGATAAACGCTTCTCTCTAACGTGCGCAAATTCAGAGGACGATGACGGGACACAACAAGACAGGACAGCGTGACAGAAAACAACAGAGACAGACTGATGGAAAAACAGAATTTAGTCAAAATAAAAGAGAAAAGTTTGGTACCTCCACCCTGCGAGAGGGAGAGAGAGGAGGAGTACCCTCCTCCACTAGAGTAGGACGCTAGCGCTCCGGACGGGGTACCTACAAGACAGGGACAACTGGATTTACACCACAAATCATTAACCCCCCCCAAACTAAACACCACAACCACCAACATCTTTGTTGTACCGTTTGATCACAGCGCATGTAACTTACATGGTATATCCCTCAGCAAGAGCATAATCTACAGACGCAGCATGCGTCTAGTCTAGACATATTCCAACTACAGCCCAAAAACAGGTTCTTTCACTTTCATGTTGGTTAAAGAAAACTAGGCGGAGGAGACCCGGTGGAGGACTGTGCTCCTTTAATGAGAGGTCAAATATATGAATCATACACCACTATCCAACTTGCAGGGGAATGTCACCACAGAAACTGACGGATGCTTGAAAGCTGTTGTCAGTCGTATCACCGCGATGGTTTTCTGGCGGCGTAGTTGTGCACAGGAACCCAGATTACCTCAGAATGACATCATGACCAAGCTGCTTGCGGTACTGGCAGAGAATGAAGCACCTCCGTCTGCGCTCAGCTGCCTTCAAGTATTATGGAAGCCCCTGATGGAGACATGAATTGATGTGGTGCAGGTAGATGAAGGCAGAGGTGTATTTACCCAATAGAGAATGATCCTTGTTGGCCGACTCGCCGTCTCCAGTAGGGAGGTCTGGTCTGGTGTAATCTCGACTTTTGTCGTTGTTGTATTTGACGTTAAGGTTGACCAGTTTGCTGAAGTCTATCCGCAGAGTACAGCATGAATTATAGATGTTCTGTCCGTCCAAAGACTGGATGAGAGGCGGTGAAAGAGGGAGAATTAATAGTGTTTAAATTGTCTGATAATGATAGACTGGATATTTGTCTCAACCCTAAGAAGGACATGTTACAGTTATATGCAAGCTGATATATTGGTCCAGCTCTAATGTTAAAAGGGTCAAAAGGTCAGATAAGACCTGCCTGATTTGAATGTCAGCCAACAGAATGAAGACCTCTGTTAAATCAAACAAAACATGAGCGTACCACCGATAGTGGACATGTATGAATCCATTAAAACACAATAATGAATCTTCAAAAACAAAACTAGATTAAAATCTAAATGGGTTTTCTAGCCATTCAACAAGTGATTTTAATTTTAACATTTGGTTGCTAATGGAATTTGCACATGCGTGTGTACCTACCAGTTTAGCTTGCTGTGCGTTGACGGGGTCGCTGAACTGCAGAAGAGCCTGAAACTGGTTGTTCTTGGTGAAGGTTATAATCTTCATTACAGTCCCGAACTTACTGAAGATCTAGAAGAATCAACCAATTCAAACAGAATAAGAAGGAAACGTGACCACGCTTGAGTGAGTTTACAGTTCCCAAGACTTCATTTCCAACTATCAGGTTTACAGCTCTGCAGACACTAGAACCGCACCAAAAGAAAAGAAAGCTCTGCAGCTTTTGATATTTGTTCACATAAAGTCTCTGTTCCTCTGTGGGCCAGATGCTGTTTCATTGTCGTTTATAGACCATTCGTATCCAAAAACTGACGGAAATAAAAACATAACTATTGGAGAGTGTGTGCCAATCGGAATGGTGGATCTAAACAAGCGTTCGGGTTTTTACCTGTTGTAGAACGTCCAGTGTCACGGGGTAAAACATGTTGTCGATGATAATGCGCAGGACAGGGCTCGGGGGCGGAGCTAGGTCCAACACTCCGGGGTCAGAGGATGGAGAGCTGCCATCCTGGACGGCTGACACCGCCTGCAACACTGCCTGAGCCCTCTGAGTGGAAAGGAGAAGACACGTCGTGAATGGGAAGGACAGTCCCCCTTCAGTCCCAGCCTGGTTTGGCTGAGGGACGGGGCTTGGTGTGCATGTACCAGTCTACCTGGTTCAGAGCCGAGTCGGTTTTCAGCTCCTTGTGGTTGGAGTACTGGATGAAGACGGGAGTGTTTCTGACCTGAATAGAATGAGATCCAAGGAAGGAAACGTTCGGTTCAGTTTGGTAGCACCTACAAGGTCAGAGATGATTAATATTGTGTAACAGAAATGGACACTCGAGTATTTCAGACCTGGGGCGTGACGGCGGTGTAGTAGTTCACCATAGTAATGGCTGCTTCCTCTGTGCCCAACTCCAGGAACGCCTGGAAAACCCAGCAGGGTTCATGAGGATTAATCAGGTGTCACTGGGCTTGTTTCGTTTGACGTCAACAGCTGACGGAGTTTCGCCATAGTTTACCTGGTTTTTCCCCTTGAGCATCAGTATATTGGTGACCTTTCCAAAGGGCAGCCCCAAGGCAATGACCTCAGTCTCAGACACTTCGTTGGGAAGTTTCCGGATGTGGAGAACTCTGGAAGGAGGGGACTCTTCCAGCCGCTGCTTCTTGCTGTCGCTGCCGTTCGCTGAACAATAAAGGCAAATGACCTGTGACTGTGAGGTCAGAATACTAAAATGAATGATGCTAAGCTCCACTTAGCTGCTTGATATCCAGGGCCCTGGTGTGTGCATGCGGGCTCACTATGTCACATGAGTGGAACAGGGCAATCATTCAGGTCGAGCTTCTACGACTATGTCAAAAACACTTCTGTGTACAGAATAATCTTCATACTCAATTTATTGTATAATTGTGTAAGTCACGTTTTAAGCAAAAAGGCCTCTGACTTAAATGTCTGGTTGGATTGTTTTCCAGTCAGATTGAACTGGATGGGAATTTATCACTTTGGGCTTCAGGACATACTGTGTACCCCAAGGTTTGCAAGTAACTGGTTGAATTGAATTTAAAAATTGTGTGTTTCCTCGACTTGCACATGCATTTAAATAAATATTTTTTAAGGACCAATAGATATTATAGATTTGTAAAAACACAGATACAGAAATACATTCACAGATTCAGAATAATATCAAAGGAGCCATAATATGCACTTTTACCACAAGTTGTTTCCTCTAGCTCTAGCTATGTGTTCTGAAAGAACTGCCTAAAACATACTCCAAATAGCACCGTCGTCAGCCTGCCTAAAACAACTGTATTGTATGATTTTGATCATTCTACTGATTTCTATAGTCAATATCGTTGAATTTGTGTATTTTCCTGTCCAGATACGGAGGAAAGACGCAAGGGAATAAAAGTCTCTGCACGTCCCCTCAACGCACGTCAGTCGTCAGATACCCGCTTTGAGCCGGAGTCACACCCTGAACAAGAAGAGGCCCCCAACAAGTTCCACAATTGAATGATTTAAGCAAACCCACACGTTTTTCACAACTCTAGCCAGGACATGATCTTCATTTATGAAAATAATCCAGTGTTTGCCATATCACTGTATACCAGCACCCCGCCTGTTTACGAGCATTCTCGGATCCCCATGTGAACACACGCAGCGGACAGAGCGCGCAGGCTGGAAAATGGCAGTATCGGTGTCGTGTACGCACAATTTAGGGTTCAACAGGACGCAAAAAGTGGATTTTTCATAATATGTCCTAAAACGCAATTAAAATACTGAACTTCACACTGTCATTTTATTAAAATGTGTTAAAAAGGTATTTTTTGGGAGGGGGGCGGGGGGGTTCTACTGAAACTATGCCTCCTCTTTTTCACCATGCCAGTCCATTTGTGAAGACTTGCGTGCTCACCGGTCAAAGCGGTCGGGCTGCTGCTGTACATGTTGAGCTCCTCTGAGCCTCTCTAGAAAAACAAGACGAAAAGCAAAATATGTTACTTAGTTACTAAGAATGTTGTGTTACAGACTGAACGGTATAATCACAGTCTGCTCTAGTGAACAAGATAAAATAGTAAGTGTGCTTGCCTTTACACCGACTGCAACATCGCTGTGAAGGGAGAGAAAGCAGGTGGATGAGGAAAGAACAAGGCAGCGTGTAACACAGAGGTCTGATGGAAGAGCATCTCATTGACTCATCCTGGATGAGGGTTTTGGCACAAATGCGTAACAGCTTCACACTTCCATACAAATTGTGTAACAAAGATTGATTTGTTATTGTTTTTTTATAAATCCTAATTCTTGATGTGAATACTTAAAAGCGTATTCAGCGATTTAACGGTTCCATGGGTTCAATCTTCAGCAATCCTTATTCTGAATGAGATCAAACCAGTCGTGTTGGGCATTTTAACTCCAACTTGCGTCGTCGTATGCGGTCACCCAGAATGAATAACACACTGGGACACAATCCTGTCACACGCGCACATAAATGTTGTGCAGGGCATCAAAGACAACACGTGTTAATAACGTCATGGAGGCGGAGCTGCTGCAAACACGCCCCTCTGCTCCCCTTGATGCTTCGACACGCAAACGTAAACATTAAGCTATTCTGTGTTTTCTCCTTTTGCGACAAATAAATCACTCAATCACTTTATATTACAGTATCCTGTTATTTTACACGTATGTTCTGCGCACGCGGTAACAGCTATTTACGTAAATTTCCCAGTTACGGAAGCTAAGGTTAGCAGAGGCTAGCTAACGTTAGCGTAGGGTAGCTAACGTTGTACACAGGGCACAGAGGGGGTCACGTGTCACGAGCACTGGCTCCAGACAAAGGACCTAACTGACAGGTGTGACGTCGATATGACACAGGGGGCTAACTCCTCGTCCCGCTAATGCTAACTGATAATAATACGCCTTTTGTCATTGCCCGCTAACGTAGCTACAATAACCTGAAGAAAGCTACGACATTGTTGAATCACGTTAGCTGAAACGCACAGCACGCACTTGAACCGCCATGAATGTTAGCTTTCCGGCATTGGACTGCACATTTCTTATTTGGGAAATGGAGCCATTGTTTCGCTAGCATCACGTTTATTGGAACAATGATTTACAGAATAAACGTTCTTAGGTGGACTAACGGTTATCTTACATTAAGATGCGGATGCGGGGCGATTATGCACATGCAAAGTCTTTCTAGACGCATTGTTTCTAATATTGAGACATTTACCTGTCCATTGCAACTCTTTGTCCTCTTCTATAATGTTTCAGCACAATTCGATGCCTGTGAGAGCAAAATGGGCGTTTTTCTTCTTCTCGTTTTTTAATATCAACCGGCAACCACAGCGGCATTAAGCGCATTACCGCCACCTTCTGCTCCGGAGGATGATCCAATAATAAACTAATTTATTACATTTATAGATAGATGCAATAACGTTATAAATAAGTGTTTATCATTTTCTGTTAAAATGATTTCATTATTCTGTCGCTAACATGTTGGAATATAGTAAACTACGTGACAGAATGCTGTCATAATGTTACTGAGTCTGCCTAAATAATTGAATGAATATTAATACATTTATTATACCTGTTTCAGACCCTTTACAGGGTTTCAGTATTTTAATGTTGTAATGTGTAATGTAACGCACACATACAAGCACGTATCTTATTGACACTTAATATGGAAATGTTACAGGAATATAAAAATAAAATGAGACGCAAGTCAATGAATTCCCCTTCCAACGCTGGAAATAACACAATATATCACTACAATTTGACAAGCATTTTGAACAATTATTTATTTTGCTTTTAATACTTTATTTTAGTTCATTAAATACATTCAGCTGATTATTCTGTATGTATGTCATTTAGTTTTAAATGAAGGTTTATTGGAGCATTGCAACAATTTATCAAGGTAAATATCTCAATATTTATTCAACCATGTTATTTTGGCACATCCATTACACCCGTTAGTTTGATCCTCTCTTTTTGAGATAAGTAACAGTACATTCAGTGATTCATTATTTGTTATAGACAACTTATTTCATTTTAATGAATCAAATATATCAAAGATTTCCATTACATTAATAGATCAACATACATGCAATACGCAAGAGGATGATAATAAAGCTGTAATTTGAGTCAGAATTACAATGAAATCATTGGATGAATTGTGAAAGCATCTTAAAATGGTTGGCATTTTTAAAATCTAAATTTCTCATGACTCCAACCATTACTCCCATCAAGCTGAACTCCTCCCAGTTATCTGCATTAATTAAACAATACAAATGAGTCAAACCTCATGTGGCAGATGAATCTAATCGTAAAACCCAATTTCATAACATCAGATTAGATTATTAAATAGGTGGTCAGTTTCCGCCCGTCTCTCCTTCAGCAGACGGGGCTGATGGGCACACCCCTCTTGGGTACATAGGGTTTCGCCATGGTAACCATCTTGATGCAGTCTATGATTGGACAGACGCTGAGGCACAGAGTGCAGCCCGTGCAGCTGTCAGTCACCTTGGGCAGGTGGGTCTCCGGGTCAAACGTTATGGACTGTGAGGACAGCGAGAGAGTCGCGTGAGCAACGACGGGGGCAGTGAAGTCTCCAGAACAAGGAAACCCGTCGCTATGTGACGCACCGACAGACTGACAGACACACCGACATACCTGGTATCCAGAGTCGTTGCAGGTCATGTAACATTTTCCACAGTTGATACACATCTCCTCATCTATGACAGCCTGGACCTGAGAACAGGGGAAGGTCGTGAGTAGTGGCGGCTGGCCAATAGAGGGCCGGGGGGGCGTGGCCCAACCCAGATGGGCCGCAGTCTGGATCCAGACCCAGTGACCGGTGTATCCGGCCTCTGGACCTTTAACATCCTGACTGAGCCCTCCTATTATAACCTTCACAGCACTCATTCAACAATCTAGGAAACACTCCAACCACACGCTTCGTGAATCATATCACGTGAGGCCCACATCTGCACACAGATGTAACGAGGGAACACTCAGATCAGTACGTGAGTCACGTGGCTTATTTCACACGGCGTTCTCCTCAAACAGACATGTGCTCAGGGATGGAAATTCTCCCCATGGGAAGTTTTAAAGTAATTCGTCTCATATGTTTGGAGACGGTGGTGATTTTTGAAGTGTGACTCGCCACTACGACGCGAAGCAAACATGATCTAACAAAGCAAACTGTATCCAGTAAACATTAGAGCCCAGAAATACATGACTTCATTCACACACAGTGATGCCATCAGAGAGGAATAAAGCTGAACTGAGATAAACAGCACAAGGATGTTTTTTATTAGAAGATGAGAATATATATATATATATTTATATAGTAATATACGAGGGCTTTCTTGAGGAATATCACTTTACACCTTGATGGGTGTAAAGTGATATTCAGCAGGGCGACATTCAGTCAAATTCATTTTTCGTAAACCAGGTAAGTATGTATGTTAAAAATATTTCCGCTATGTGTTTTTACAGTTTTTTCAATCCAGCCCATCGGTGATTAAATTTATTATTAGAATATGTGTTAAATATCTGTATTTAATCCATTATAGTTCACAATATGAATTGTTGAGATATTATTTGATAAACTGTTTATTGTAGTAGACAGTTGTTGACCTCAAGGAAATGTTGATACAACTTCAATAGACTGTAGTTTAAAATCATATCAAGTCAGATTTTATTGTGTTGTTACAGAACTTTGCATGAGGACATTTTCTTTGACTCGACTGATGAATATTAATTGAATAACCTTGATATACTTTATCTTTTACAATAACACGCTATTGAAAAACAAAAAGGACCAAAGTACCTGCTCCATGTTGTTGAGCTCCTGGTAGGCTCCGATGTGGCGCAGCGCTCTGGCGATCACGTCCTACACACACAACACACACACACACACACACACACAGTATCTAAATTACGCGGTATCGTCCGAAGCACAATAACACAACAACAGCACACACGAGCGAGCAGATTGAGTGTCATACCTTGACCGCGGGGACAGTTTTTCGTGGCGCGTTGACCCGGCTGATGCCGGTTTCCTTCACATCTGTTTCTACGTTTCTGAGCTTTTTCTTGTACTCTGCGATGGCGTCGGTCCTCTGCTGGAGGTACGGCCCAAAGCTAGGGAGGCTCTACGCACGCAGAAACACGAGGATGGAAATGGCAGCAGCAACTCTGTGCGATAGTTGACACAGTAAAACTGCAGCAGTATTATTGGTAGAAAGTGGTGGTACCTTTCCCACCAGCTCCACCAGTCTGGGAACTGGTTTCCCCTTCTGATGTCTCTCTGTCGGAGGAGACTGGCCGTCCCAGTCCTTCAACTCCAGGCTCTTCAGGTACAACAAGGCCTTCAGACCTGAACACAAATATACACTCAGATGGCATCATCATGCAGTCTGTGAGAGGGGTAATGTTGGTACAAACGTCACTTACAAATACCACACAGTACATTCTGTTGTAGTAAAGAAGGCCCGGGTTGAGACATTGATATAGAATTCCAACAACTAGAAATAGTACAACTGAATGTTCAATGCATGCGTTTTATTGTTCAAAGTAGAACAATTGTGATTGTATCTGTCCGCTGACCCGTCATGATAAAGTCCAAAACATCATCACACCACATTTCTATTCTGTACTGTCATAACTGGTACACGCCTGGGAAAAACACTAGTGGGAAAAACCAAAGAACGTCGCCCGCCATGTCTGACGCCGGCTCGAATAACACACACAATAATCACTCATCTAGTGATATCTGTCCCTCCTTGTTTCAAGGTCCAACATGCTCCATCTGCTTCCTGTCTTTTCACTAAGGATAATATACACATATTTATTTGTTTATTGGCTGTATGAGATATGAGGAGCTAGTAAATTCAAAGCATTAATTGCACGAAAAATAACTGCACGTATAAAGACACAAACAGTGACATACCCACACAGTAGTCCTCGATCACTGTGAAGTCCTGGTTCTGCACTGCACTGCACACCTGTAAGCAGACGCAGGAAGACAAACAGAGGTCAACAAAACATGTCTACAAAAGACGTATTGATCAATTTCACAACATGTGATTAGGAACTTATTGCATGAGGGAATTAGTACTCCGGTCCACCTGTAACACTGACGCCCCGGCGTGGAGGAACTGCAGTCCGCTCTCTGCTGAGTCGATGCCTCCGGTGGCCAGGACCGGGAAGCCAGGAATTGCTCTGGCGATGGCGGAAACTGCTCTGAGAGCAATGGGTCTGATGGCATTACCTGCAAACATTGTTGATTATATTAAGAGCTACTTCAGTGTGAACGTCATGCGTCTCGTTAACTCAGCCAGTCGTCCCAGGATCTTATGAAGGATACTGTCGCATCTACAAATCTCACAGTAAAGTCTTTGGCCACTGAAAAATGACACCTGCCTGTGCATTGTCGCCATGGTTACAGTTGGTTATAAGCATAGACTGAATATAAGAAGTCGTGGTTTTTACGTCACCCATCGGTGAGCAGAAGTCACCATATTTGGGATGGGTAGGAGTGAAATAGAGAAACCGTATAAGTCTCTGGTAGTGGCAGCAACCTGTCAATCACTGTAAGCCGCCCTGGAGCACACCCTGCTTCATGGTCTAATTGACTAGAAATGAACGACACCCTCTGTTGTAGAAGACTTTGAAACCAGCATTAAGAATATTAACTCAGGTTCACATGTTGTAGGTGTCGCCCCCTGGTGGTCAGTGGAGAGAGGGTGAATGTTGAGACAGTTCTGCTTTGGCTTCACTCGGCAGAAGAGGAGGTCATCTCCTGGTTGAGAGGCAGAATGCCCTTTACGTACTGCAGGCACGTGCACAGATAGACCCCTGGTGGTGCTCAAGCACCCGCCCTTCTGCCCTGGATGAGAAAAGTGCCCCTTCTGCTGGAGCACAATTTTTTCTTCATTCATCAATATTTAAGAGTAAAAATTACTCTCTGTCATCTCTGTCGTGTGTTTTGAGTTCCTGTGAGAATTTCGCCCCGACATGCTCCGCGGCGCTCACACGTCTACGCACAAACCCCCCCGACGTTGTTTGGGGGTAAATTAACAACAATATTAGCGCCGCTGAAAACATTACGTCGCAACTGGTCCGAGGTTTCCTAAAAAAATAAACAAACCAAAAACTCACGAAATCCGTGATTTAAAAGCCTTGTCCAGCTGTTTACTGATGTTTGATGAAGAGAGAGAGAGAGAGAGATACAGGCAGGCAGATCATCTAAAGGCAGTTTTATTATTCTACAAATTAGAGAAGTTCACTAGTTTTGTTCAATTTAATTTCATTATTGAAATGAAAGGTAGGTCTTAAGTTGAGCTACATG